ATAGTGTCCAACTGTGGTTTAAGCTCTGTGACAGTGGTTCCTCTAAATAAGGTCAGCTTTACTTCTTCCTGAAAAGAATAAATACTTCTCCTTCTGAATTAGCCTCACAATTTAAAAGGATTGAAAAAGATTATTCAAATGAATTTCTGCTTTAAAATATAGTAAGTTACTCAAAGAAATTTTATAGTGATGTCTTAATGATGAAGGAGTTCAGGAAATGCCATCCCAAAACATGTTGCTTTGGAATAGAACTGAGGTCACTTGGAGAACAGCAAATGCAGGGAGGGGCTTTTCCTGAACTTCTCTCATCTGATTAAAGACAGATCCTCCGAAAAGAACATAATTGTCATGAATTCCTTCCCCAGGAATCTAATCAACCAGGAAAGATGAACTCACACCACAGGAGAGGAGAATGGAGGTCAATATCACACCCAGACAGACTCTGTCACGTGCTATCACTTATTCTTCTGAGGGCCCATTCATCTTTCGCCCAAATCATTTACTCTTCTCTAAGTTGCCTACACACCCCCTCCCCTGTCTTCTCCAAAGAGGGTATATAAGCTTTTAGATCTCACTGGGTTACTGAGGTACTTTCCTTTCATTTGATGCCCCTGTGCATGTAATACATTTGTATACCTTTTCTCCTGTTAATGTGTCTACTGTTAGCTTATTTCATAGACTCAGTTATTGAATCTTGGATGGTAGAGAGGCAGTTTTCCTCCCTTACAATGACATTCTCTTGATTTATAGAGGCATCTGTCAGGATGGAATTCAGTCTTACTTCATCCCAACTCACTCTTCTTTACTCATCTGCAAGAGAGGCCATAACTAAAGGGAATAAAGACTGAATAGGTTCATTGCCTCACTAGCTGAGGAGCTCTAGCAACACTTATGAATTTAATTGATAATCTGTATTTAGCAGGGAGAGATAGGCAAAGTAGAGGTGAATGACACACGAACTTCTTAGGTCTCCTGAATGTCTCAGGGACATGAAAGGTTTTGTAATATAAAACAAAAAAGCACAATCTAAAAACTGTACCAACATGAAATGTCCAATCCAGTGATTCATTTATCATTTCTGTATCTAATATCAAACCCCAGACCATTTATTCAGTATGCATTCAGCAAACATATTTTAAGCACCTACTACTAATATTTGCCAACACACTGAAAATATTTGATGGCACTTCTAGAACAAGGGGAGATCCATTCAATAATTCATTAATAAAGTATAGTTAAATCTGAATTGAGTGAATTAACATGGGAGATAAAATGAGTGATAGAAGAAGCCCTGCTCTCCAAGAGCTCACTTGAGTGCAGAAGTGTGCAAACCGTGATACAGGTCACACCAGGTTTCTGAATACAGTTCTGGGGACCTTAGAGAAAAAAATCAGTCAACATTGAGCAGATTAAAGATGGCTTCATAGCGGAAATGACATCTGAGGGCCCTCAAAACAAGTGGGAATCCTGCAGATGGAAAGGGAGAAAGGAGAATTCCAGGCAGAAGAACCACAGAGCAAAGGCAGAGAAGTATGACAGTGTGGGACCAAGTGCAGGAGGAGGGAGCAGTCCTGAGCAGCACAGGGAGAGGAGAGTGCACAAGGACGATGCTGTGGGCGGGTGAATGGGGAGGAGACTTGGAAGCTGGCTGGTAATATAATGTGAAGGGCAAGGGGTTTGTGCATAATAAAAAGATAACTCTAGAAGTAATGAGGAAGATGGTTGAGAAGGGTAAGGAACAGAGTATGTATGCGCGTGCACGCGTGTGCGTATGCAGGGCACCATGTTTTCTTGTGTGAAGTGGTGTTAGAGTAACTTCACTAACTCAATAGAAGTAATTAAAGTTTTTACAATAATTTACTTCCCATAGTGCTTAAATGGAATTATTCCTGAAGTATCAGATATATGATCCTCTTGAAAGAAAATAACTTCATTATTTTCTCCTTATTAATGTAACACATGTAAATTTCAAAGTAAGTACATGATATAAATTGGATAAAAAAAGATGCTAAAAATGAATCACAATCACACCACCAAAGAGAAACATTGTTTATATGACTCTTCAAATTGGACTCAATTCCGCTACCTTGAACTAGACATTGAGTAAAACTGATGATGAATAGAGTAAGTCAGACAACTGAGGCCAAGCTCATTTTAAGCAGAAGTGAGTGTAGCAACTTTGGCCTCACTTTGTGGAGTGAAACTTGCCGAAGGAGACATTTACAGCTACATTGTGATAATTATAAATTATAATTATTTTAAAAAATGTGCTAAGCACTATGAAAAACAGTTGAAAATGGTTTTATATTTTGCCACACACACATTTTTAGCAATTCTTTTTTGTCTTTGAGGTGAAAATGAAAAGTGCAAGTAGTAAAAATGAAGACTCCCTCTAATCTTCAATTACCTTCAAGTGGAAACTTAAGTACTGAGGGTGGTAAACTTTTATATATTAATTCAATAACTCTTTAAAAAATACTAATTATAACACTAGAGATCTATCAGTGAACAAAATAGAGTTATGGTGTCTGCATGCAATGAGCTTACAGTCTCGTGGTTTAGCAAAATATTCTTTCTCCCTCCTCTCTAGAATACAAATCCCAACCATTTTTCAAGGTTTGGCTTGTTTCCCACATTTCCATAAAGTATTCTTATACTGTCCTGGCCCCTGCAGGTTTATCTTTTCTCTGACATTCCATAATTCTTACAGATAGTGCCAATATCAAACAATTTGGTCATATGTCATCAGGAACTGATCTCTATTGAAAGTCCTTTCTCCTTAATAAGATAAAAAAATTCCTTGAAGACAAAAGCCATGCTATATTACTTGAGGTGAGGGGTAGAATTTTCTGAATATCTGGTAATACTAAGCAAGGCATTTAGAAGATTCCTGATAAAACATTTCAATGTGACTGAAAAACATATTTACTGGAAACCTGGCTCTTGACCATACCAAAAGAGATGCCTTCTCTTAGCATTGTCTTAAGGGTTGGACACATCACAATCTTGGTGCAAATGAAGGGGACCTGGTGAGAATTTCCTAGCAAAGTCTCATGGCACACTCTTCATTTCATTTTTTATTTTAAAGGTAAATTGTTCATTATTTCCCAAAGATGTTGTACAATTTAAATGTCCCTAGTGACCAAAAGAACAATCCAATCAGTTTTCCAGTCAAAACAATAGTTAAATTAAGGCTTGGTTACAAGTAATATTTGCAAAGTGGGGGGTAAAACCCCAATTGCTTGATGTTGTCATTACCTTTCCAACTAATTCAATGCTGTGACAAATTAGAATACAGTTAGACTATTAAAATAGCGAAGTCATTCTGTGAATCCAGTTTGTACTTTGGCATTTTGAGAGAAGTTTGTTATTTGGAGGTTTCTTTAGAAGCATGTTAAAAATCAATTTGTATGATTTGTATATCATGCTTTCAGCAGGCATCTTGATACAGTACAGCATAATATCCAAATTAAATATCTTGCTTAAAGGAAGCCAAGCTGTAAGGAAGCTCCAGTAGAAAGATGAAGATTTACACTGATGGAACTAGGACATATCTGTCCTTTATCATAAGCTTTAAAGCTTAAAATCATCCTGTTCAAGGTTATTCGAACACTTGATCACTATCAAGAGCTTCTAATCGGAGTAACTATGATTCTAACCATCTTATCGGTCTACAGAATTGTTTGAGTTGAACTTTTCAGAAATAGGAAAACAGCCAGGGATGTTTATGCCCTTGTGGCAGGGGATGTGATGGTAAAGGATATAGAATTGAAAGAAAACAGCTCTCAAGAAAATTAAAGATTCCCATGAAAAATTTCTTACTATATGAAGTAGAATTCATTAATCCAATTGTGCTAACTCAGATATTTTCATTTTCTGTTTTACAATAGATACTTTTGGAGTCATTGATTTCTATTAGAAGACAAGTCTACTAACGTTTCGGAAGTAGAAAAACTTCCCAAAACTAGCTGGGAAGAGTATGTTCCCCTGGTGTTGTCATCATCCACCTTTGGCCATCACAAGTCCTCCCTTCCCCAGCTTTCTGGCCATATCTGGCTCAGGCCCAAAGGAGAAAACATTTATAAACAATTTTGTATAACTTAATTGCAAATTCTAATTCTAAAGCAAGTCAGAAGTGAAGCTAATATACCAAACACACAAGGGGAAGAAAGCTTTTTTAAAAATTCTTATGCAGTACGTGTGATTGGCCACCACTAATGGTAAAACAAAAGCTGTCGCAGGCAAGACACACACCTCAGTCTTCCAAACATTAGACCAAGTGACATTAACAAAGAATCATTTGAAAAGGCCAAAGAACCTCTTTACACCCACACATATGCACAGAAGCTCTTCCTTGATGGCATCTCGCACCCTCATGTTTAGCTATTTAATACTCCTCTTTGCTAGCCAAGTGGACAAAAAACAATTAACTACATTTCTTGAAAACAGAAGCCATATTTCTCTCTGCCTTGCCTTTTTTTTTTTTTTTGCATAAGGTCTAGTCCACAGTGGTGAGCTTAAGTATGATTCATTTACAAAGGAGCAATCTACATATGAATTTGCTGAGACATCATCCACACAATAGGTAACATCCCAGTTGTCTCATTGAGCTTCATTCTGATCACAGAAACAGATGTTTAAATAAATCAAAGAGCAGGGGTATTGCTAATCCAATTTAGAATCATCATGTTTCAGTTGGCTAATATAATTTATGACACTTTACTAAGTCTAATGATTTACAGTGATTTATTGCAAACAAGAGATAGTGTAGCAAAAGAGGCAACAACAATAACAACAGAATCCCCATCAAGGATATCCAAAAACCACTTTGGTATTAATGAGAATTAAGTTAATGCCATAAGGAGAGAATTTGGTTTACTGATCATGGTCTATTTCTGTGCAAAATCTCTCCTCTTTGCTTCCTAAGTCTTAATTGTTTTTACAGTATCCATTGGTGACCAAAAATGTGTACCAGATGAGAATATAAATAAAATAATACTGATGCTGTTTACTGTTTATTTGAATTCATATTTTCATACAGGCCTTTCTAACTGCCTGATGTTTTCCTGGAAGATTAGGGGAAATGAAGCCTCATGTTCTTTGGACTTGAACCATCAAATTTTCACCATAAGTAGTTTCAAAAAACGTTATTGGTGGTAACTCTGGTTAATACAGGTGATCAGTAATGTGAGTACACATTCACAGAGACATATCGGAACTTTATATGTCTGGGTTCTGACTGACCTTCAGGTTGATATTGTGCTATAATCGTCACCGTCTGTCCAGCTCCCTTCAATGCAGCAGCTGCCTGTTCATGGGATGCTCCACGAAGGTCAATGCCATTCACCTACAAGAGAGGAAGCCAGACAATTTTGCTATTTCATAAGGCAGATTAATCTTATAGAAAAAAAAAGTTTCTCAAAACTGAGAGGCTATTTAAAATTATGTCACATATCTCAAAACCCCACATCCTATGCACGTGTTTGTTAACTTAGCAAATTTCACGGTCTTGATAATTTTTAGTTAGCAGAAATATGAAATTTCATCTTGTGGTCTTTGTGCCATGGTCTGACTGGGTTAAAAACATTTTTGTCTATCCATGTCTGCCAGGATTTTAGTGCATGCATTTAATATGTCCTTGTGTGTTTTCTAGATTTCTGGGATAGATAGGAGCTTTCAAAACTAGAGGGAAACAGGATAATAAAGAGAGACACACGCAATGCACATAGACAAGTATGTGCTGACAGATTAATATATTCAGATGAGGTTCTGGGGAGACTTATGGAATGGGGCTGGCTGTCTGCCAAATCTTTCTCTTTGGTCAATTGCCTAGTCTTGTCATCCTGAGCTTGGTTAGACAGCCCTGAGCCTTGTTCCAAAATAAACTTGACTGCCCCATTTCTCATGCACAATTCCAGAATGAGTTCTGACAAAATGAAATAAAGAGTCCCTTGAGTTTATTTTGCTATTGCTAACTCCCATTTTGGAACCCACACTGACAGAGAAACAGAGCATCTAAAAAACAAGCCCCAAACTGCGCCAGAGTAAAAAATCATTCTTAAGTCAAATTTAATGTGGTGCAAAAGCTAAAATCTTTCTTGAATTAATTCATTCTAAGTCAACACAGTATAATTACCAAGTGCTCCCCAACAACAGGGCTCTGTGTCTGCTGCAGAAGAGGGACAGAAGTTGGGGAACAAAAGTGAACAAGACAAGCCATTTAAGAAGCTTTTCTGCTTGAACTGAGTGCACAGTTTTCTAACCCGCACAGATCTATGTTTTTGGAGATGATGTCAGAATTCTGTTTCCTTTTATTTACACAGCAGGTTGTTATGGATTACGAAAGAAGAGTAAAAGAACTGGCTGGCATTTCTATGTGTAAAATGTATAGTTTTATTTTGCCTCTCATCAATCCTCTTTGACAGTGATATTGAGTGGTAGATGGGGGTGGTTAACACTTGCCCCATCAGGCCTGGAACATCTGTAATCTCCAGTTCCACATTCTGGTCCTCTCACAATAACTTTGCTAAAGTCTTCTTATTGGCTTTTATAATTTTCCTTGCCTCTTGCCTGGCTTTCTATTCTGGTGAACTCACTGCAAGCATTGATACATGGTGACATTGGGAATTCCACAGAGCTAGGCCTGGCCTGGCTGTGCCACTCATTAGCTGACTGTCATCCCTTTCTGAGCCTCAAATTTCTCCTACCTCAGAGGGAAGGGAATGTTAAGATATTTGAATCTATGGCCCCCTTAGACTGTAAAGTTCCAGATGTACTCCTTGGTAGATGACAGTCATTTTGGAGACTGTCTAGGCTATTGATATGAGTCAGAAGTATGTCTCTGATAGCCAGAAGAGACAGGAAAGGTAATTTGATCCAGGTCCCTGCCTGCAAAAAGCTGAACTGCACAAACTTTCTGTCAAATAATTTTTTCTTTTGTCAAACAATTAGAGTTAACTTTTTATTAAAAAATAATATAGGCATCTATAATTAACAATAACTTATTGTATGTCCTCAAATGGCTAAAAAGAGGAGCCCAAATGTTATCACAAAGAAATTTTTTGTGATGATGAATTTGTTAACGGCCCTAATTTGATCATTATGTATTGTATACATGTATTGAAATATAACTCTGTACCCCATAAGTATAAATATGTACCATCAATATGTTTCTTTTTTCCTTTAATTCTTTTGCAGTTGGCCGGTATAGGAATCCAAACCCTTGACCTTCATGTTACAGCACTGTGCTCTAGGCAGCTGAACTAACTGGCCAGCAGCATGTTTCAGTTAGAAAATAAAGAAAATCTTTATAGAAACAGTATGATCATGGTAAATAAATTCTGTCTCAGAAAGGTATGAAAGGAAAAGGTAGAAGTCCCATCACCATCTCCACTTCCAAAGGTAACTGCTTGCTTATCTATCTATCATCTATCTATCTATCTATCTATCTATCTATCTGGAAGCTGGTCAGTACAGGGGTCTGAACCCTTGACCTTGGTGTTATCAACTCTGGGCTCTAACCAACTGAGTTAACCATCCAGTCCTGTGAGTGCTTTTTAAAAATTCACTATATACCCATTTAAGCACATAACTATTTCTGTTGCTCTCTCTACATACATATTTTAATATATTATTGCCTTTTTTTTTAAATGAATAGATCATATCACATATTCAATTCTACAACTTGTTTTTGTTTTGCTTTTCATTTAACAATATATTTTGAATATCTTTCACATCAGTTCATATCATTCCTTTTAATGGGTAGCATAGTATTCCATGGTATGAATGTACCAGAATTATTCAGTGAGATCCCCTTGATGTGGATAAAGTTGTTTCCAGTTTTTTGCTACTACAAACACTTGTTAAAGTGTTTCTGAAGGATAAATTCCCTGGAAATGAACTTCCTAGGTCAATGGATTTTTGTTTCTTTTAATTTGCTATTGCACATTTTAAAAAAAGACTATATATTCATTAAACATACAGAAACTAATAAATAATAAAAAAAGACCATAATCTCATTGCCCAGGTAATGTATTAATATAAAAATAAAATTAATACATGCACATAATGGACATTTATGAAAATTGAAGCAGTATAAAAAGGCATAAAAATAGAAGGTTTCTCTTACCTCTTATTATTCTCTCCAGAGGTAACCATGTTCATGGCTTCTTGTATATGAATTACTACTAATTATTTTTTGTATTGTATTAGTAATTACTTTTGTTATAAATATGTTATTTTATAAAATATATAAATAATTAAAAATTTTTATACAAATAAAATTATGTTTTACATATTGTTTTCTACTTTGATATGTTCCACTTACTAATATATTTTAGAGAACTTTCTTATTTCACATATCCCTACACATGAATCTCATTCTTTTTAATAGCCATGGAGTGTTCTGTTATTCAGTGTAAAACAATTTATTTTACTAGTGCATGATCAATGGATCCTTAAATTGCTTCAGTATTTTGCTATCATAAACAATGCTGTAATAAATACCATCTAGCAGTAAGTTGTTGAATAAAGGGAATAAGTGTTAAATTCTGATACCCATTGCCAAATTGCCTCCAAATATGTAGCATTAATTTATACTCCCACAAATAATATATGATTTTCTACTTCCTCACACTCTTTTTTTTTTTTTTTTTCCTTTTTGTCTTTTTTCGTGACCGGCATTGGATCGCAACCCTCAGTGTCGCGCCCGTACCAGACCGGGACTGGCAACGGGATCGCAACCCTCGGTGTTGCTCCCGCACCTTGCTCAGCCAGTGAGCGGCTGGTCTGTACGTGGGATCCGAACCCTCGGCGGGAGCGCCGCCGCGCTTCCCAAGCGGCGCACTGTAGCAGTGCGCCACCAGGCCGGCCCCTTCCTCACACTCTTATAATTGTACATACCTCAGTGTTTGACCTTTTCTATTCTGATAAACAACTGTATTTTTTAATTTTGCATTTCTTCAATTATGAGGTTAAGCATCTTCTTATATGTTCATTATTACTTGAATTTCTTTTTACATAAAATGCTTATTCATTTATTTTGTCTATTTTTTAAAATTTGGTTTTTTTTAAAAATTATCTGGGTATTGAGAATATTAGTGCTTCCTCAGATAACTATTGGAAATATTGTTTTGGTTTGCTATTTGTATTTTCCATTATTATATTTGTATTTTATCGTGTTTTCACTTTTCCCTTGGATGCTATATTTTTTTATAGAGAATTTTTCAACGTTTTGTACAGTCACATTTATTATTTTCTTTCCTTTTTGGCTTTTGAGTTTTATATTATATCTTTCCCTCTCAAATATATTTAACAAATTACCCATGTTTTCCTGTAGTACAACCATAGTTTAATTTTTAGCTATTTAATCTTTAGTGGAATAAATTTTGATGTTTGATGTGAGAACCAAGTGAACAGCACCATTTCTTGGACCTTTCCTCTGTAGCATAAGATTTCTACATCTTTCATCATTCTAGTCATTCTCTGAATTTTTCTCAGTTAATGCACTAAGAAAAGTGCGTAAGAGAGTAGTAAGGAAGGAAAGACTTGGAGTCAGACAGAAATGGCTTTGAATCTCAAGACTCCCTTGAGAAAATCTCTTAATTTCTTTCTTTGGCAAAGTCACTTAACTTCTTTGAAGAATCTCAGCTTCCTGACCTGTAAAATGAGTATAATACCTACCTACCTATCAGGGCTGTTGCAGGTACAAACAGCCATTCAGCAAATAGTATTTATTATTTTCATTAGTGTTTTTTCAAAGAGCTGTGATTATAAGTGATGAAAAAAAAATCCGATGGGAATTAACCAATGCAGAACATAATATATGGGTTACTTCATGGTTTTTTTTTTTGTTTGTTTTTAGGAACACAGAATTTCAGCACTAGAAGAGCTTTAGAAACTTATTTGTCCAGCACTCATACATCAGAGCATTAGAGAAGATCCTCACAGGGGAAGGAACTGGCGCAAGTCCTATGGGAGTTAGCATTGGGCTAGGACCAGCCCAGGGCTCCTCTTGCCCAGCCCAGTGTTCTTTACACTGCAGCAGAGGTGCCCTAGTACTCGTATGTGTGTGTGTGCATGCCTTTTCCACTGGACCAGTAATAACCAAATCTTGCTCCTCTTATGTCTAATTCTACACGAGTCTCTCCATTTCTGGAAAGTTTTGTTTCTGCTGTTATCCTGAACAATAACATTGCCTTTGTCCCTGTTGGTTTTCCTCCTGGTTTCCTCTAGTCTTTCAAATTTTCAAGGTCACTTTGATTCTTATTTCTATCCCTGAGGTTTGAGGTTTTAATCAGTAAACTTTGCTCAAATAACATTTTCAGAGGTATTCACAGTTTACATCAC